ATAAAATGTACTCCGTAATAGAGTTTTTTTTTAAATAACATTATAAAACAAGTCGGCCCGGGTACCGTTTTTTTCAAATTTTAAGACTCGTTTGATTCCTAAGTTTTTAAAGACTTGCCCCGAATCGAACAGTTATTTGAGTTTTCTAAAATTAGAATCCGCCCCTAACCCAACCCGAACATGTATTACTCGACCCGACTCGACCTGCGGTTCCTATACCCGTTTGTCCACCCCTACTACATACTCCCTCTGTCCCTTTTTAGTTTGCCAAACACAAATTTTCAAGTCAAAGTTGTTCAACTTTGACCGATTATATATTTATACACAGTAATATTGATAATAAGAAAATGGGAAAAGTACGGAAAAATTACTTGTGGTTGGGCCTGTTTTCAGATAGGGTCATGTGTTTCATTTTCTTTTATCAAAATGGTTCATGTGTTTGAATTCCGTTATCACAAGAGGGTCACACCATTAAAAACGTCTGAAAAAGACTGTTAAAAGTAAATCCGATTTTCAAAAGTGCCCGAAAAATTAAAAGAAAAATACCGCATGGGGCACCTTAATATACGACCGCTAGACCATCTTTCTTTTTTGTTTTCAGTCACCCTTGTCACCAGAAAATCCACCGGAAAAGTGATATTTGCGAAATCACTTTTAAAAAATAATTCAAATAGATCTGAAAAATCCAAAGGCGAAGGTGGTTTGGAGGTCATCTTGACGAGGCGCACCTTTCGGTATTTTCTTTTAATTTTCCAGACACTTTTGAAAAACGGAGTTACTTTTAACGGTCTTTTTAGACGTTTTTAACGGTGTAACCCTCTTGTGATAACGGAATTCAAACACATGAATTACTTTGATAAAGAATGAAACACATGACCCTATCTGCAAATGGGTCTATCACAAGTATCTTTTCCGTACTTTTCCCTAAGAAAATTATATGAAAATGTTCTTTGTTGAAAATACTATCATAAAAGTATCAATTTATTAACTTTTACATAAATATATTAGTTAAAATAATATATATGGAGTACAAATTTATCATCTTTGACTGTGGATGTACAAAAGAAAAGGTGAACGAATGACCGCCACTTCCCCTCATTCAGCGTCCCTTGCCTATAAGCAAAAGCCAGAGATAAATAACAATAAGACAAAATCACACGAAGAAGATTGATAAGAATGGTAGCTGGCTGGCAGGTCGGATTGCGAGAAAGGTGAGTTTTTTTTCTTGTGAATTATTTCCAACTCAGAACGAAGGGAAGCCACAATAGAGCTCAAAATTAAAGAAAAATTCAGATGGGTTGGAGAGGGGTATTGGGTTTCGAGTATGGGATTGTGCAGGCGCCGTTAGGACCGGATATCTCCGGCCCTGAGCTTGTTGCCGCAGTTGCAAATGCCGGTGGGCTTGGTCTTCTTAGAGCCCCTGATTGGGTCTGTACCAGCCTATTTCTCCTTACCCCCATTTTCTCTGGGGAAGATAGAACTTCGAAATTAAAATTCACATCTCCTCTTGAATTAATTACCTTAGGATTTTATAATTGTTTTGATGACTAAGCCCAATCTTTTCCATGATTGTTGAAATTATCTTTCCACACAGTTCTTCATTTGTAGTTTGGGAATGCTCAAAGACTGGTAACCCATTTGATGTATATGATATATCTCATTATAATGTAGGATAAAGGTACAGATCAAAACATATTGTGTTACTCACTTACTCTGACCATCTAGTTGACCATATAGTTTGAACTTCAAGTCTTAATATAATATCAACATTTGTAAAATATAAACTCCTAACAGTGTGGGGATATTCCTCATTAGTGGTTGCTGATCTTCATAAAATAAAAGGAGTTGAAACATTTTAACCTTCTAAGACACATAGTAGATTGTTTAGACTACAAACATCTCTTGTTGTCACTTGTAGCATTCTTTCAGTTGAAATTTCATGGCATTGATTTTGGTTGCAACAGGAGGATCCTGATCACATAAGGAAAATCATAAGAGAGACAAGAGCCTTAACAGACAAACCTTTTGGAATAGGAGTGGTTCTTGAGTTTCCTCATGAAGAGAATATTAAGGCTATATTAAAGGAAAAAGTTGCTGTCTTGCAGCTTTACTGGGGTGAATGCACAAAGGAGCTTGTTCTTGAGGCTCATAAAGCTGGGGTCAAAATTGTGCCCCAAGTAAGCCCCCTCCCCCCTCATTATGTGGTGAATAAATTACTTTTAGTTGTTCTAGTATATTAATGGTTTTGTCTGAGCATCTTATTCATATTAAGTCATCCTATCCAAAGATGGAGGGACTGGTTTCTAAAGATTTAAAGGAGTACTAAGTGCTAGTCAGTAGTGCTATAATTTATTATTGACTGAAGTCAACTAACTTCGTCATGATGTACACGTCTTATAAAACACGCTGAAAGATTGAATCTGATGGATTTATATTCTAATCTAAACCCTTATGAACTCCTATATATTTCTTTTAAGTTTCTGACCTGATACTCTTAACCTGTAATTATGCTTTCGGAGTTATTAAGAGCTGAGTGGATTATAAGTACTATACTTTTTTAGGTGGGGAGCTATGAAGAAGCAAAGAGAGCCTATGATGTTGGTGTCGATGCTATTATGGTTCAAGGCCGGGAAGCAGGAGGGCACATTATTGGCCAGGTATAACAATAAATGACTTTTGCTCAAAGAGCAAGTAAATTTTGCCTTCCTCTGTGAGAAGATGCGGGTTTAATTCCCCTATCCGCACAATATCCAAATTAAAGAGGAAATTAATGGTTTGTGTTGTTCTCAGGATGCCTTAATGACCCTTGTGCCGAGAGTGGTTGATCTAGTTCGTGACAGAGGCATACCAGTTATAGCCTCCGGTGGCATAGTGGATGAGCGTGGCTACGTTGCTGCTCTTGCACTTGGAGCTCAGGGTGTTGGATTAGGCACAAGGTTTGGGACATTATGTAACACATAATACACTGCACCAGTACATTTGAAATATCTCACATGGGATATAAAAATAATACTACCTCCATCCCATATTGGTTGTCCACTTTCAATTTGGCACGATTATTAATAAAGTGGTTGAAAATTAAAAGTTGTGGTTGAGATTTGAGTAGAATAAAGTGAAATGATAAGAACCACATAATTCTTGCCAAAAAGGGAAACACATTCATTTTGGGACAACCCAAAAAAGAAAGTAGGACACCAAAATGGGACGGAGGGAGTAAGATATTGGATTACTCATATTATGGTGACACTTTAGCATGAAATCAGAAGTCTTAATGTCATATTATAGCTTGCTAATCCAAACGATCCTTTGCCCCTGGCTTAAATAGGCAAGGGGAAACACAAGCCACTCCTAGTTAATTAAACCTTTTTTCCATGTGTGAAAATTTGACTAATAATATTTCCATTAGTGAATTATTTTTCTAGGACCACCCCATATTCAGTTTTTTTTGGGGCTACGCCACTAGGTGCGTAATAAACATAATTTTTTAAAATTGTTCGAGCCGCCATTTTCCAGGGATGTAATGCCGTACATCAGATCAATAAAAACACATCGAGCCTTACATAAGTCTTAGCATAACGTTGGTTGGGTCATGATTTTAGGTTCGTTGCAACAGTGGAAAGCAATGCTCACCCAATTTACAAGAGAAAGTTGGTGGAATATGAGGAGACAGAGTATACAGACGTGTTTGGTCGTGCAAGGTGGCCAGGGGCACCCCACCGTGTCCTAAAGACTCCGTTCTTTATGGAGTGGAGAACTCTCCCTAGTCATGAGAACGAGACGAGTCAACCTATCATGGGCTATTCGATCATACATGGCAGGGTAAATAGATTTCTCTCACAATGATGAGTAGAGAGGAGGAATGGTAGTCTTTGCCATAGATGGCTTGGAAGATTTGTGACTTGTTCTTTCTTGTCAAACAGGAAAAGGAAATACGACGCTTTGCAGGACCGGTCCCTAATGGACAAGCAACCGGAGATATAGAGAGCATGGCAATGTATGCTGGTCAAGGTGTTGGTCTTATAAAGGAAATTCTGCCGGCCGGTGAAGTGGTCCATAGGCTGGTCAGTGGAGCACAACGCTTGATCCATGAACAGGCCAGCGTGAGCACAAAACTGTGAAAGCATGAGTGTAGCTGTAAACTAGTGTTAAAGTATCTTTAAATTGTATTTGTATGGTACTAGACTTCTCTGTGCTTTTAAATAAAGAGTAATTATGTTTTTCTTCAAATGATAAACTCATTTGAATAACATGGTAGAGCATGTTTGGTACGGGTAAAATTTGTATTAGACTTTGGCAACATGTTATCTAAATTTGTTCAGTTTGTTAAAATTATTGATGAGATATACTAGTATAAGTTAAATTGTAGTCCGTATTTCTTTAATGATCTTAAGTAGATGATAAACGAAAAACATCTACTTATTTTACACACTCCAATAGTCCAATGTAAGAGCCTAGAAATATGGATCTATTTTGTTTAGAGGAAATTGCTCAGATTAAAATATACTACCTTCGTCCTATATTGGATGTCTTGTTTTAGTTTGACACAATTATTAATAAAGTGGTTAAAAAATAAAAGTTGTAGTTGAGATTTGAGTAGAATAAAATGAAATAATATATTCCGTAGATCACATATTTTTTGCCATAAAAGAAAACATGACATTCATTTTGAGACAACCCAAATTGTCCCAAAATAGAAAGTAATACAACAAAAATGAAACGGAAGGAGTAGTTATTTTTAAAAAATAGGATCATATTTAAATATGTAATATCGATGTCATATGACAATTTAAAAAAAAATTATTCAGTTTGATACTACAAAGTTTGAATATGTTATACGGAGTACTTAGTAACATTTTATTAAAAAAGAGTACCGTAGTAATTTGTCGCATACTCGCATGTTATCAATTTGAGTCGATTTTGAGATTATAACAAATTAAAACTACTATCTTTGTCTCAGATTTGCAAAATTGGCTTTTCTTGATTAAATAATTTCATTTTATTCACTTAATTAAGATGCCAATTTTTGAATTATATTCAACTTTGAATTAATTTTGCAAAAAAATGGTGACTTTTACATAAGTAGCAATTTTTTAAAAAAGAATCAGGGCAAAATTGAAACCAGTCTAAAACAACTTATCGTATCCTTTTTAATAGGAAGGGGTTACTTTGATATCTCTAGGCTTCGGCAAATAGGAAGGGGTTGCTTCACCGAACCCTACCATCTCCGGGGAGAAGAAAAACATCCATGGCAAAGAGGCTGTTCAGCGGCGAAGGTCACGAATTTCAGGTTTATAATCAGATTCTTTGAAATCGGGTCTTCCCGAATGAAAAATAAAAAATTGAATCTCAGTTGCCGTTGCTTGTTGTTATAATTGTTTTTGCATTTATTTAATCGAAACACAACGACGCTTTATAATTAGAACAACCCTACAGCAGAACCAGTGGTTTAAAAGATGATTTATTGCTTGATTCCCTAAACGAGAACTACGGAGTACATTTTTTGGTCAGGGTGACAGAAGGACAAGCTGTAGAGCTGTTAATCCTGGAGATGGTGAAGGCATGAGTGCTGCTGATCTAGGTAATTATAAACAGATTGTATTAATGACTTGTGGCCGGTTATTTAGTATTCCGTGGCAAATAAGTAAATATGAATCGTGTTGTGTATGGTTGTTACATTGAGCTTGCAGTGTGCCTCAAGTTGTTGAGAGAGGGTGGTAATGAAGACGTATTGTTGGAAATACTAGCTAGGCTACCAAATAGTCGAAATGCAGTTCAAGCGGGCCTGGTTTGTCACCTTTGGCACTCAGTCATCTCTCAGCAGCAGTTTGTTCCCAGGTTTATAGGACTCTGGGAGCAAAAGAAGAAAGAGCAGCCTTATTCCATCATATTCTGCAGAGTAGATGTTTTTGAGCATGTTCCAGATGCGTATTATCAGCCCATCTGCAAACTATTTTCGGATGAATCCTTGGTTCTTCATGGGGGAGGAAAGGAAGAGATGAAGACATCATGGAGAAGTTATCCTCCTTCAGGCAGTGGCGGCATCCAGCCGCCTTCACCCAACATGGTCATAAGAGCATCTTGTGGTGACTTGCTGCTGTTGTCGCAAAGATCTGAGCCAAACTCCTACTATCTCTGTAACCCAGTTACCAAACAGTGGTTCCATCTCCCCCATGTTGATTATGGAATATTCGTGATTGGGTTTGCCGTTGTACGCATGCCGCCGCAGCCCTCCGCCCGTAATAGCTGTGGCAGTTATGAATACAAGGTGGTCTTCATTCATTATCCCCATGATTATGGAGAAGATAATCTTGCTGACAGTTGGAAGTGTGGAACGTCAATTTATTGTTCAAAATCAAAAAAATGGAGTGTTAATTCATGGTTTCGATATCGTATACCTACTACCAGTAAGAACCCTAGGTTATTCATTAACCCAATCACTTGTCATGGAACTATTTATTGGTTAAATTGTGATGATGTTCCTGACTGTGTCATTGCCTGTGATTTGGTGAACAAGCCCCACTCTACTGCCTTTATTGACCTTCCTGAAGGCTCTCTTTCTGGTGGTGGAGGTGTTGTTTCACTAGAGTTGGGTGCTGTCCTGGGGGAACTGAGATTATTCAATGTATTCCGCCCATCGTCGGGTGACCAGCAGCAGCCTCAGCATCATGTTGTTAAAATTTGGGAGTTGAATCACAGAACCAACTCTTGGACTCTCGTTCATGACACATGCTTCAATGATAAGCCGCCACCTTATGGCTTCCAAGTAGCAAAAGTAAACATGTTCCACATCCGTACGGTTGCTTTCCATCCGCATGATGGGAATGTGCTCTTCTTGGTAGTTGACCGTTGTGTTTTCCAGTATCACATTTCACAGGGTGAGTATAATAAAGTCGATCAACTCTGTGCTGATTTACGGAATGAGAAAGGCGAGTTTTTTCATTCCATGCCTGCAAATGAGTGTATTACATCCTTCACTCTCCTCCACTCTATCTGGCCCACCACCATGTTGCTCTCTCCTTCCAAAAAGTGAAAGAGTGATGAACATTATGGGTTTGAGATTGTAATCTTGACCATAAGGGATGTCAACATTTGTCCTGGAATTTTCAGTTTTGTACACTTTATCCTTATATTTGATTTTTTCCCTCCCGCCACTCCCTTTATCAGATTATCTTGTGCGCACTCTTTTTTACTCTAAAAAAATTTGGAATATAAAAACAGTGGAGTGCAGTTTTATTGCTCGAAACAGGTCATCCTTTGTATGCAATTTCAATAAAATAAAGTATTCTAATTTCTAATTGAAATCCTAGTAAATTTGGAATATAGAAACATCTATCTCCCCAACTAGTAAACTGTCAGCCGATGGATGCTTCCATGCTTTTGGAATATGACCAATCTCAACTTTAAGCAAACTTACACTAATGTAGTAATGTCTTTATCTTTCTCGTCCACCTCTTTTGTGGGCACTTTCTTGTCTACAGTTGTTTGATTATCACTGGAAGCTATTTCAAATTCGATTCTTTCAAACAGATTAGCAGCAACTTCCTTGCTCTGGATGTAATCCATCCATCTTAGCAAGTGTGGTAATTTTACTTTATCTTCTTTTGAAAGACCAATCTCATTATCTTTTCACAAAGCAGCAGCACTTGGGGAAGAACCTCACCACCCTCATTTACTTTGTCCGCTACCTTTATTTTAGTCATATACTCGGTATTTGTCCTCATCTTTTGAGCTTATTCAGAAAGCAGCATGTATTGGAGCTTTTGTGATGATTTCAGAAACACTTCAAAGAATTAAAAAGCACTTAATAGTGCTTTGGAAGTAGCACGTGTAGGCCTGGGATACTTTTGAAAAGTACTTTCCAAAGAAGTGCTCCATACTCTTCTAAGATTAATACATTGATGTTTTTTAAGCTAAAGTAATTCTATAGTTAAAAGTTTGATGATTCTCTATCCTTATTTTTAATTCATTTAAAACAAGTGTTGCGTGGTTTTATCTGTTTCAAAAGTCAATAAATGATTTTGACTATTGATGAGGATGATACATTGTTTTTTTCTAAGATAAAAGTCTTGCTTTTTTTGCTTTAGGTGAGTACAGCTGTGAAAGACCAATGTCATTATCCTCTTTATATCTTTCTCTAGGCTGCTCAAAAATTGTTCTGGATCCAGTGATAGTTCATTGCAGAGAGGAGTAGCAATTGTATGCTACCTTATAATTTTTCTTAATTAAAAGTTAGAACCGGACAGTTTGGTTCTTACTGTTTAGTTAGTTTTTTTACTTTTGTTTTGTGTTGCTAAACCAGAACTACAATTCTCTGTTTTAACAACATATATGAAGGCATGAAGCAATACATGTATGTTCCTCAACATACTTCGTATGAACTAGTCACTACACCCGTACATTGCACGGGGTTCCTCTATATGCATATAAAATAATGCTATAATTGAAAAGAACAAAATGGTCACATGAATCATACTATATGAAAAGACACAAAAAGGTTAGATAAACAAACAAACAGTGTTGATCTAATGTGATACTCCGTTTTTGTTATGTATCATCATCGAAGTCACTAATATGATAGATTTAAAGAAATTAATAAGATGGAGTGAGTAGTGAATGAATCACATTTGTGCAGAAGGTTGATTGGAATTAAGACATACTTTTCCGCAATGAAAAATATCAGGATTTTTTTTTTTGTTTTTTAGCTCAAATTTTAGGAATGCATGTTTTGCTTACACATAATCTTGTCTATTTGGAAAGGAAAAAATCTATATAATCTTTTTATGAAATATTTTAAATATTGATAATGTGGTAAAGAAGCAAGCATGTTAAAGACTTGACCCACATAGGACTGCATTTCCATGCTTACCAATAGGTGAAACAAGTTTTAAGCTACAAACGGTCATTCACTAATCCCAAAAGCAGACCACTAATTCACGTGTAATGTAATAATAGGATGGACCCGGTCCTAAGGATTACTTGGTGATTGGTGAAGCTCGGGCCTCTCGATAAGGGTCCCAGACTGGGACTCCCAGTCACGTTCTGAGTACCCGACCGATCCCGGACCGGTTTCACTTTTTTTTTGGGGGGGGGGGGGGGGTCTAATTATAGTTATTTAATAAATTTAGATTGATAGAAATAAAAAATTACATATTAAAAATGAAATGTATTTTTATGTCAACTTTAAAGTGAATTGTATATTTCTAAAAAGCTACTCCATACTTAATTAAAAAAAATCTAAAAATGTTTAATACTTCAAATTTGAAGTGTACATGAGGGTCACAAAAACAAGTAATTGTTAAAAATATCTAAACAACAATAGAGAAGTGTTACATATATCTCCTACTCTTGGGAACTTCCGCTTCCTTGATCAGTTGTGGTTTCCTTCATGAAATGGCAAGTTGGTGCTATGTTTGGCTCTTGAGTTTGTCGGGGGCCTTCTACCAATCGTGGAAGCACATGAATGTCTCAAGAGATTGTGCGCTCAATCACGTTGTATAATCGGTGAAGACGTTGTCGACTTCACTGAACTCTTGTTGCACGGCAACTATTGAAACGAGCATGGATAGGCCAGACTTGTTTCGTTTCGCCATTTTTTGTATATCAAATTTGAAGTGTACATTAGGGTTACAAAAACAAGTAAATGTTATGTTTTGTTAAAATGACATGAATAATGGCTCAAACCAGTTTATTTTCCATGTTTGAAACGCATGGTCGCTATGTGAGCCATATGCATGCAGTGACAATCTAGGAGTATATTGAATGTATGTATTCATTTCTCTAAGAATTTGTTTGGAGATGGTTTTTGGGGAGGGGAGAAGACATTTGAGGGTTGATAACCCTCCTATTTGTGTTTGGGAGTTCAAAAAATATGGAGGAAATGTTTTGGGGGTTGCTATGTAATCCTTCTAAATCCCTCATGTCCCTCAAGTCTCCATCGGTCTTCATCCCTCAAGTATCCATCGGTCTTCATCGGTGCGCACCCTCCCATCTACTTGACTACATCTGTCTTCATACTCTCGTCATTCGTCGATTCCACGCCGCTACTCGGATGCTACTCACCGTAGCATCTAAAAAAAATTATTTTTAAAAAAACTCTTAAAAAATGACATGTCAAACATACAACTAGAAACTTTTAAATACTTTTTAAAAAAAACATAAGCTAGAAAGTTGGAACTTATGCTTGTCAAACATGCACATAAAGTGATAAAACGTTATGTTAACACCATGATCATATATATTATGTATTCAAAAAACAGCAATATGTCCGAGTGGTTAAGGAGATCGACTTGAAATGATTTAGCAACCAAAAAAGTACATAATTTAAAATACTAGAAACATTCATGGGGATACAATTAAAATTAAAATGTATCGGATGTAATATTATTTATTTCATAAATGAAATTTTACAATATTAAGTGCATTCTAACAAGGCTTAGAGTATCTTAAATTATGTAGTTATTCCAATATATTAGTATTTGTGAAAAATATACAATTCTAATATGAAAATAACTCTTTATATAAAGTTTGAGATATATATGACATTTATAATAGATCATCAGAATCAGGCAATGCAGTCACTTCAGCCAGAACTTCATAAATTTCAGCAGAATCAGCCAAAACAGTCAATTTTCGTGCTACCAAACAAGCTTTTACTTTATTCTTACTTTATGAATTCAATATCAATCACATAAACCATTTTTTATTAATTTGTGTGTCACTTCATCTTGTCTCATTGTTACTTCTTAGTGGGACGGGGGTAATATTTAGGGAATAACCCCTATTTTTGCCTCTTAAAACTCTAAGTATTATTTGTGCCATTCTCTTTTTTATTTTTCCTGATTTAATTTCCCAATAGATAAAAAAAAAGTGTCTTCCACTCTGGCGCCACTTCCCCTCACCCAACGTCCCTTGGAAGTAAGCAAAAGCCAGTCACGAAAGCACCCAAAAAGATTCATGAGACAAGAAAGACTTTCTTATTTTCTTGTCAAAAGCTCAGAACAATGAGAAGGGACGCTGGAGCACAAAGTTAAAGAAAATTTGAGATGGGTTGGAGAGGGATTTTGGGTTTCGAGTATGGGATTGTACAGGCGCCGATGGGAGCGGATATCTCCGGCCCGGAGCTTGCTGCCGCTGTCGCAAATGCCGGCGGACTTGGTCTTCTTAGAGCCCCTGATTGGGTATGTAACGGCGGCCATATCCTCTTTACACCCATTTCCTCTGTTGGAATATTCTTTTTTAAAAAATCTCATCTTTTCTTGATTAAATTAACTTATTGCCATTCCCAATCATTTTCTTGAATTTTTTAAATCATAAATCCCCACAGTAGATATATAACTAATTATCTACTTTGATTCTCTGTCAATTTGATTTTGCTAGTTGAGAGCAGGTTTAGAAGAATGTTCCAAAAAAAATTGATTTTGCTAGTTTAACTATAAAAAAATAGAGGACTCCTTATTCGTTAATGATTTGGCGTTGAAAAATTATAAACATAATAAAAATCAACACCTAGTTGGAACTTCAAATCTTAATATTGTAACATATAATACGAAACGTTTAACATAAAAAGTTGTGGGTTATTTCTTCAAATGTTGGTAGGTCTTGATAGAATGAAATCTCAAATCTTAATAACATTGCTTAGCTGAAAATGTCTCGTCCTTTTGAGCTAATGAAAGATAATAGAGTTGTTTGAAAAATTCTACTCACCTTTTGTATTAAGGTTTCACTGTATTGATTTTTGTTACAACAGGAGGATCCGGATCACGTAAGGGAAATTATAAGAGAGACAAGAGCCTTAACTGACAAACCATTTGGAATTGGAGTGGTTCTTGCATTTCCTCATGAGGAGAATATTAAAGCTATATTAGACGAAAAAGTTGCTGTCTTACAGCTTTACTGGGGTGAATGCAAAGAGGAGCTGGTTCTTGAGGCGCATAAAGCTGGGGTCATGGTTGTGCCACAAGTAAGTCCCCCTTATTATGTGGGGTGAATAGATTAGTTCTATTTGTTGTAATATATTGGAGTAATAGTTTTGTCCTAGGATCTTATTTATGGATGAATCACTAAGTGTTAGTGAGTAATAATAGAATTCATTATTAGATGGAATCACTTCACTCGGTTGTTACTCGTTATGTGTATGTGATAAAAGAACACTAAGAGATTGAATCCAATTGATTAGAATTTCTAATCCAAATCCTTATGAACACATATGTCTTTCTTCAATATTCTGATGTGAGGCTCTTAACAAATTAAAGCCACTTATTTGTGGAGTTATAAAAAGCTGAGTGGATGTGGAT